TCATCTAACAAATGAAGCATTTTGATAAAGAAGTACACAGCTGGAGATGCTGAATCAAAATTATTAAACTGTGAAAAATTTGGCGAACAAGAGAGTAATTTCTAAAAAATATAAAAATATTTTCAAAAAGTTTTATTACTTCTTCATTTTTGATCAATATGAACATATTTTTGATGAATAAATATTTTGTAAAATATTTGTTATGCTTTTTTTTTATTCATTTTAAAATATCTTCCGTAAATTAAAGTTTACCAAAACTTGTTCTATATATTTTTGTTCGATTTTGAATTATTGTAATAAAATGAAGTACAATTGGCTCACTTAAAGATGGTACATTAAAATTAAAAATGAAAATTTAAAAAAACAATATGTTGTTTCTGATTTTATAAGAAAAACTAGTAAACATAGAATGAATCCCTTACAGATTTCTAACATTTATTTTCCTCAGTGGCTAGACAGGACTAAGAAGATTTGTCTTCACCGCAAATTCAATTTATTTGCGTCTTAAAGCGTCACCAGCGTTATAAAGCAATAAAGCCGGAAAAAGGATTATCTGGCAAGCTGCCTGCTTTTCCTTTGGGTCAGCGAATGTCCCCTGAGTGGGATCCTCGGAAAAGTTACTGCAAAAATAGAAAGAGACCCCGGCAAAAGTCAGCCAAAGTTGCAAAGCACTCGCTGATAGGAGGCAACAACGAAGTTTTGTAACCAACTCAAAAATAAAAACAAAAATGGTATAAAAAGAACTATAATGATACACAAAAAAAATGACATCTTAAACGATAGCAAACTTCTTTTCATACCGTATGCTGAACAAATTGCAGCACTCCCCCAAGTGGTTCAATTAATTGCAACTCACACAAAATGCATAATGAGGGCTGCAGGGGGCGATTTTCAATACAAGACTCGAGGCCCTTAGCCCCCCAACTTACAGAGTTATTATATTTCCGGGCTTTTCTCACTCCCCAGTGAATTTATCATGCATTATGCAGAATGTGTTGGGGTAAATGATTCCATCGAAGCCACAACAAAAGCAGCAAACGAGTGCCTCTCAACGGCGAATTTGCGATGAGTGCGTGAACACGCCTATTTAAGTAGGTATCAATTAATATTATCTGTGCTATGTGCTCTAAAGATTGTATTCATATGGAAAGTGTGCTTATAGCTTATTATCTAATTGCTTAGGATCATAAATAGTTGAGTACCATAATGTGCTTTAAGTAGTGTGCATCTTAAAACTAATCAGTTTCTAATTCTATGAGATTTATAAGACCGTTAAATGAATTATCTATTTCAATACACCGTGACAAATATTCCAAACTATTAAAGCAAATAACATGCTTTAGTATTTTAGGATTACTGTTAAATATATGAATAAAATACGACTATAGAAATAATCGTATCATAAAGCTGCTAAGAAGATAACTTTCCTTTTGTGCTAAAGACAAAGACAAACCTTTTTTAAATTAAACCAGTGACCGTGAAATTTGGCAATTGTGGTACCGCTTTCACTACTTTTCTATGCTAAGGGCCTCATCACTAGCCATTAAACAGATGTGCACATATGCAAATGGGTGTACGTAGGAGTACGTTTCTGAGCCCAGAACCCAGAACTCTCAATCTCAGCGGCGCACAAAAGTAGGCAACAAAAACCGGCGGCGTTTGTTGTTCCTGGCTGCCATTGTTGCCGTCTAGCGGCTTTCAACTTGACGCCAACGCACTTAGGACAACACACCCACGCACCCAGACTTTCATACACACAACTAGACACTCATATGTACACCACACACTCACAAATGCATCATATCTTGACTCATTAACAGCCCCTGAGCGCAGCGGTGTAAAAGCGTTCCAGAGCAGAGATTACTTCGCCTGATACGTCAAAACATTCTAGTCAGCAGGTCTGCCAATTTGGCTTTTTATCATTAAAATTTAATGACCACAAAAATAAGGGAAGCATAAGAACTTCTTTAAAAGCATATCGACTTTATGGAACCACTTAGAAAGCGAATATTTGAATTTTTAAATCTTATAAGATACAAGAAGATATCTGAACCTCGTTTAAGATATTGAAAATTGTTTATGTTTTATTACAACATTTTTATTTTGAAGAACATTTTTAATTTTTTATAAATATTATTTATAGAAGACTAGTTTTATATTTAGGTAAACCATTAAACATCATAATCAAATAAATTCACATAAACATTTTTTAAAATTTAAATTAAAAAGTATATAAATAAAGTACAATGTAATATCATCACTGGCACTTAGGGCTCTGTTTTTGGCGTTTGATTCTTGGCGCTCAGCGCTCAGAATTCAGTGCTCAGTTCAGTAGGTGACACCAATGCGCGTAGGTGTTCTGGCCGGCCCACGTCGTCTGGCCTATATTGCCACATATAGGAACATATAGGAACGTATAGCTCCCCCCGACTTCCACCCAGGCGGCCCTCATCCTCGATGCAGTGCACTAGACTGCGTGCACTTGACGCTATTGCTCCACATTTCCTCCAGTTCCAAGAGCTACGGTGCGTACATACAGTGGACGTTAAAATAATAGCACAGTCTAACTCTCTTAGGGATTTTTAAAAATTAAGAGTACAATTTCCAAAAAAAAATAAAATTAGGTACATTTGGTATTCATAAAAAATGTTTTAATATTTTTTAGAGCCTTTCTTCTATGCAGTGTGTTACTTATCTACGAAAACTCTTGTAAATATTACTTCTATTATTACCTGTTTTACAATTTAAATATGATTTAAAGTAGCTAATCGATATAGTGTCACAAATATGAACCTCATGTCAGTTAGTTTTTAATTTCAGGCCAAATTTTTAGCTAGGCTTAAGTAATATATTTGTAGACCTAGAATTTTAACCACTGCTGGATACTTGGGCAAATGCATCGACATCCCTTATCCGCAGTCCCCAACCCCTCAGGTCCAACGACACTCTGGGGGGTGCCATTAGTGTCGCGGTGCGTGGCATAAAAAAGTTGAGCCAAGTAAGTTAAAACAATTCGCACAGTGCGTGCCGCAAGCATTCACCTCGATCTCCGATATCCGTATGCCGATGTAAAGTTTTTTGAGCTCTGCCTTCAGCGAACTTTGGTAAAATGTTCTTTTCTTACACGTAATTATGCAAAAGTTAAAAGCAGCCATCATCGACTCGACGGGATTTCTTTTTTTACTCCGACGTCTCGCCAGCCAGCCAGCCAGGTAGAAAATCAGTCAGCACTTGAGCTGTCGCTGTCGCGTTAAATTATGCAAAATAAAATAAAAAAGGAAGTGGAAAATGCCGGGAAAAGCTTGGGGGAAAAAGTTCATTAAAGCAAAAAAATACAGTACTCGCATCGGTCATCACACTGCTGAGCATTTACTGCTGTGCGATTTTCCCTTTTCGGGCGTTATAATTGCGGCTGAGAAATGGAATCAGAGCCTGGGATTCCAGCCAAATGCGGCTCAAATGTGTTGGCCACTTGATGCCAATTGGTTGGAAATTGCGTAAACACGTCGAGTGTTAAGGGGGAAGTAGTAAGGGGGTTCTGTGGGCAGTGTAAGCATTTAATTGCAAGTGACTTCAAGTGTTGGCCGATTTGATGGGCAGGAAATAATGAGCCGTTTATGTTTACATGGCCATGTGGAGAATGTGGCCAGGGATTGCCTGATTTTCAGGAATTCACGTTTGATGTGGGCCTATTTGGCAAAGCTAATCCTTTAGATGCTGATTTGTAATTCGATAATTGCCCTATTACCATTTAATATTTTGATATTCGAGCGGAATGCTTCAAGATATCAATTCTAAGATGTTACAATGATTTGATTTCATATTAACAACAAATTTTGAATAACAAAATAATATTTCTGATAAAAGAGATCATTTCTTGTCATGAAAATATGTATAGAAATGTCAGTCATGGTTTATAAATGTTGTTTACATTTTATAGGCTGCTTATATTTTGAATAAGTCAAGTATTGGCTATTTAATACTTCATACAAGGAAGTGTAATTAATTCTTACTTACTGCAAACGTTTACGCAGCTTAAAAGGCACTTAATAAATATTTACTGAGGATAAACGGCTCCATAAATAATTGTTTTTATTGCTCAATTAGGAGACACTTGTCTTCGGCTCATCCCAACTGTCTGGGGTCCCGGCTATCTGGTATCTGATATCTGAAATCTGATATTTCTCACGCCAAAGGCCGATGGCCATTGTCGCCTCGTTACGCGTTCGTGGCAATTGGCCGGCACTTTAAGCGACAAGCCGGCACTTAATTACATGTGTAGTCCGCTCGTGGCATGTCCTCTGCTGTCAACTATGGTGTGTCCGACATGTGTACTGCATCTGCATCTGCAACTGCCCCCTTTAATGGAAGAGGGTCTAAAGGACAGATCCTACGGACAGTCAGGGTACGAGTATCAATCACGACGAACATGTTTAAATAATTTCATTTCACAACCGGAATTAAATGCAGTCGCGTGCAGGGCCCATTTACATGACACGACTATTAAATTAAAAAACATGAATGGACACGGACACAGGCGGTGAAGTGATTTTTCGGGGAGAAGGTATATGCCCCTTCTTAGCTACACTAAGAAAAAAATGTGTCAGAAAATTATTTAACAAATCTAGTATTTCTTGGCACCAATTAAGATTAATTATTTTTTGGAGAGACCACATTTAAAGAGAGATCTGCGATTTCGATTATTAAGTTATTATTATTTTTATATATATATATATATATATATATATATATACTTTTTTTTTATTATTATTAATCTCTTATATTTTAAGTGACATTTTAAGAGCCCAATTTTTTCGAGTGCACCCGTCCACATGCCATCGTTTAGTCGGAGGCAATCGGTGGCTATAAAAATGCTTTATTGACATGCCAGCCATCGCTCAATGTTTGCTTTTAATTTCAGCGGCTGTGCGCTGCCCTGTCATAATTTGTCAATTGCAAGCTAATTGTTTTCCCCTTTCCCATTAACTGTGTACTTTCAGCCAGAGCCAAAATGATGGCGACGTCGCAGGACTATTTTGGCAATCCGTACGCCCTCTTCCGCGGTCCGCCCACAACTTTGAGGCCCCGCGAGTCGCCGCTGGGCGTGGGTCACCCCCACGGCCATGGGCATATCCACAGCCACGCCCATGCCCACGGCCATGGCCACGCCCACTCGCATTATGCGGCCTTGGACTTGCAGACGCCGCACAAGCGGAATATCGAAACGGATGTGCGGGCACCGCCGCCGCCATTGCCGCCACCACCGCTTCCGCTTCCGGCCGCATCCCCTAGGTAAGCCTCCCCCCCAAAGAAAAACGAAAACAACCGAAAATGGGGGAGGAAGAGAGAAAGTGGAGAAAGGGGAACAGATAAACCAAAGACGAGCACAGAATTGCAGAGAAAACAAAAACCAGAAAAACCCAACCAATTGATATGCATATCATCAGCAACACACATCAACACACTTCTCTGCTATGTCTGCAATCAACAAAAAAAATATCAACATCAATTTAAAATTTTTTAAGTTAGTTTGAAAACAGTTTAAAATGCCCTTAAATAATCACGCCCAAAAGTAAACTTAGAGCAAAGCAAATTAGCCAATCTTACTAAAATATCTGCTTTCATTTCGTAACATTTGCCAATGGACTTTGAACCCATCAAGAAAAAGCAAATTCAATATATTAAACTAGAGAAATAGAGAGAGAGAGATAGAAAAAACAAATCACATAGAAAAAGTGTTTGCTAAGCTATTAAAATGTAAACCTCTATAGTATGTATTTTATTTCCTTCAATAAGTATAAGCAAATTAGCTGCAAGAAACAACACCAAACTAAATAATACACATAGAAAAATATTCCATAGTTTAAGACTAACCTATATTTAAGGCAGAGCATTTCAGACAGCACTTGTACCGTTCTAGACCTAAGTAAGCAAACGTATACGTAACTCAAGCAATCCAATAACAATAACTAAGTAGAAAGTCTCTTTAGAAATATTACTATTCAAATACCTTGCCCAGCTACTTAAAAGATTATTAAAATAATATTTAAATAACAATAAACAAAAGGTATTATATAGCCAAAGCCAGAAAAGGAGTTAAAAACAATTGCATATATATGGTAGAGGAAAACAGCTAAACGAAAGGGTCCATAAGCTACCCTTTAATTACTACAGAACTTAATCACATACTAGCCGAAAAATAGTTCTTGCTAATACCAAAGTATACGTAAATCGAAATCAATGAATTTTTCTTAACTTAAATAATACTCTTTCCAAGCAATACCATTAACAATAAATCAAAGTTAACGCAACTACACACATATTGTATACCAAATAGTTTATGCCTAACCACTATTAGTAGTCCTAAGTCCTAGGCATAAACCGAGCACCAAGGCGAGATATGCACCCATGTAAAATGCAAAAATTAATTACCAAGAGTACAAACTGTAAAGTAAAACCCCTATTGAAGCTCAATTGGCCAGCCCATTAGTCTAACCCTAAGTAATATGTAGATCATAAGCAATTGTAAGGCAAACACTTTTCAAGTGAGCAAATATATCAAGCAAACTGTGAGATTTCGACGATGAGATGTGACGATGGAGCAACCCCCCGAAAGAAAGATAGATGATCATCAATCAACATTCCCCCAAAAAACCGGAGGACCTGCTCTTCAATCAACACTCAACCCGAACTGGGCCCTCAAAAAGCCCAGCAACCTAAAGTTAGTCCTTTCTTAAACTCTAGTAATCAGTTAGTTAGCCACCGTTTCTCTCTCATAATCCTAACCAAAAAAAAAACCAAAAACCAAGACTACAATCAACAAACCCACAAAAAATATCCCCACCAACTGGCGCGGTAAGTGAAGAGCCATTTTAATCATAGACTTAAGACCCTGACTAGCCAAAGTAGTTGACCAAAGTAGTGAAACCCACCTAGAACTCAACTGCATTCGGATGACGACGGGCGGCATAGAGCCCCAATTTTGTGGAAAGTGCAACCGATGATCGTCGCTGCATGTGATAAGCAAGTGATAAACAATCCGTAGCAAAACAGGCAATAGGCCCCATGAACAACTTAACTTAGCTGCATTTTGCGCATGCCAAATGAAAAATAACAAACAATAAATTGCAGTGGAAACTAAAAATACTAACTCCAGACCCAGCCACATGCAACGAAATTTGTTTAATTAACATGCAAGTCAAGTTACACATGCAACTTAATCGAGAAGTAGGAAAAAAAACTATAGAGTAATTATTCTACCGGCTGCTTGGAATTTTAAATAAAGGTATTTCCTTGGCACTATCGCGTTACTTTATTCCCCGCTAGGCGATAATCAATTGCAGCGGAAATGTCTCAACAAGCGTCTTAAATATGCAAAAGTACAATGGCAAGTTGACATGCCAGATTTTCATTAAATTTGCACCCATAATTGTGGTCACACCCGCCCAGGGAAATTGTTGAGCTATTGCTTACATTTGACAAGGACTTTTTACTTTTTTTTGGTCTTTTTAACACTGGCAGACAGAACAAGAACTTTCAGAAAAAAATACTTACGTTTTAAGACATCTAAAAATATTTTAACACATTTTACAAACTCTAGAAATCTTATATCTAATTTCTAAACAACTTACAACTTTTTTTAATATCTAAAAATTAATAAGTATTAAAATTTTATTGATTTTAAATTCCAATTTAAAAACACAAATTGAACTAGATTTTCTTTGAACTTTCGCCTGTGATTTAGGTTTTGCTGCTGTAACATGTTCATTTATTGAAAAAGTTGTTTTCAACTTGTGCTTAACTTACGGCCAAGTTTTATTCCGCCTGGCTCGTAACTGTGACGTGTGGCATGGCAAGTTGCCAACACTGGTCATGCACTTCCTGTTAAGGGACCTTTGCATCAGCCATGTGATTAAGTAACACATGTAACTGCCAAAATCGCTGGCCTTTCTCAGGTGTCCTGACGGCTGAGACATGCTAATTTGCCAAATAGCCGCCCCATGGAATAACTTAATAAATCGTTGGGGAACCCAAATCATTTTGGTGGATAATTACCAATCCTAAAAAATTCTTTAAAGCTGTAATAAAGGAAGTTACCATATTATATATACAATTTTGTGGCTATTAAAAATAAGATTACAAGTGAAAATGCACATGCCCTCAATCCAAAAAACCATTTAATTAAGAGGGCTTTTTAAAACACTTTTTAATTCCTAGCCTAAGAACCCATGGAATTATTATATAATCCCCATTCAAGGGTATTTAATACCATAATTTTCCCATGGCTTAATTTTCATTAAACTAAATACAGCTCATTTAATTTACTTGGCCAGCAGGCTTCTGCTTATTTTGGCCAAAGCCAAGACATGGCTAAGCGACAATTTGGTGGCGTTTAAGAATGTTCCAGTTGGAAATTGCTGAGGGCCGAGAGTAATCATAATAACCATAATAATAATGGCGCGATGGCCTCAAGTCATGTTACACCATTAGCGCAGAATCCAAGGAGCGGAGGAGCTGCAGAGGTGCCTGTAAATGCAATTTAATTCCCAGTCTCTGTGAGCGCCACTTGGCCAGGTCTAATGAATGCAGCAGACTGTGGAACTGGCACAGGACGAGTACAAAAGACCGGAGTTTCCTCCGAAGTTTCGTCCCTCTGTTCTAGGCCATGTTGTTTGGGGTTGCGAAACAGGGATACCAGCATCCTGCCGAGAAAAGTGCGTATCTCATCCTGTCCCGCCTCCTTTTCTCCCACTCTCGGAATTTAACTGAAAATGAATCGCCCATGGATATGGCCAGCTGAATACCTGTAATTAAAAACTGAGCACCCCCTACACTAGATCCTTCCGCTCAAATTATGTGCACTTATCCGGCAGGAAACTCAGGCAATAGAGGCAAAATTGTTATTGACCTGCTGCAAACAATTTAGAGTGTTGGCTTGAAATTGCGGAAGTGCTGGCAACAACAGCAAAAAATTGGATGCACCCCAACACCTGCGGCCATAGCCACAGTCAATAAATCACAATTCAGAAAATCAGTTAACAAGGCAAAGTGTGGCCCAAACGGGCTTAAGCCATGGCTGGCATTTACTCCTGAATTTAACCTGTTAACACATTTTCCAGCTGACTTTTTGCCACTTGGCGTTTCCTGCCGGTTCAACTGTTCAACTTTTTGTGTGCTCAAATGTTTTTAGCCCCGCTTCCTGTCGGAAAACAACAAAGCAGTGGTTTCTTTTCGCCATGGCAAGTACACTGGAAAAATAGTTTTTGTTACTAAGGGAACCTTTTAATTGATACAAATGTATGTTGTATAACATTTAAATAAAATTTTTTAAAAAAGATATAACAATTATCTCAGGGACATGTCGGAATACTCATAATATTTATTTCTTTATTTGTTTTTACCTTTCAAAAATTATACTGCCTAGCATTTTTTGACATATTTAATAGTTGGAAATATTTTTGAAATTTACCGAAACTTTCTTTTTAAGCCGTAGTTATGATGTCTCTTTCAAGATCGTGTTAAACTATGGTTTCTCTCAGTGTATCTACCCTCTTCCTTTACCACATCCTTTGGGGGAAAGTTTGTCTGTGCCATGGCGTAAACGCAGCGTGTCGCCTAGCAGCCCCCGCTAATTGGATAAGAATCAGATGTTGGCACTTCATAAACTGCCACCGCTGGCTCATTAGAGTCTTGGGTCAAGACAGGATCGAGAAAGTCAGCGGAGTTGGCTTTCATGTTTTCGCAAGGGTCAGCGGTGTATTTAAGCGAAAAGTTTTGACCCCTTGAACAAATTTAATGCCAAAACACTTGGTTAAGTGATGAAGCTTAGCAATATAAATCATTTTTTTTGGATTTGTATGTACATATTCCAATTCACACCATAATAAACTTAGTTTAACTCAGTCATAGACTTTGAATTCTCAAGGAAAGACACTTTTATCAACACGTTTTTAAATCAAGCAACTTAAAAATGCAGTCCAATTAAACCATGGCATTTTTCTAATCACTTTCCATTTTATTTTATTTTTCTATAAGGCGTCACTAGAAAAGAAATTTCATATGATTTCTTCTTTGCATTTTTAAAAATAAAACTGTATTTAAACTGCATCTTTGATTTGTTTCGCCAAAAGCTCTGACTAATTGCCAAGAAATCTGCATGCAGAAGCTAACAAATTGCCGATGAATTTGATTGCCAGTTTTGCCGTTCGGTTGGCATTTAATAATTTATTAAAGCAATGCCTTCAAAGCAAGGCTTAGAAACAGACAAACAAATCGTGGCAAAGGTGAGGCAA